CTATACAGATCAGACGTGCACGCAGTGAAACAGACTTCAGTTGGAAGTCTAGACAGCAGATCAAAACAGCAGATCAAGGCATTCTACCGTTATCGACGATATTTTCCGCAGTATAAGCTGCACACCCCAGTATTGCCACGAGAAACAGCCATCTACCCTAAAGGTGGCTGGGGCGGTACAACTTTTTTGGGAAAATTTTGACTGCATTTTTGAGTTTATCGGCAAGGCAGAGATGAAATTTGAAAATGTTTTCTGATGAATCTCTGGAGAATAGCCTTCTCTAGCTTTCTATGGTTTTATTTTACTTTTGGACAAAATTTGAAAACGTTTTATGAAAGGTTCGTGTTATTTTTTCACGGACCTTTCATAAAACGTTTTCAAATTTTGTCCAAAAGTAAAACTAAAACTATAGGAGGCTAGAGAAGGCTCTTTTCGAGAGATTCACCAGAAAACATTTTCAAATTTCATCTCCACCTTGCCGATAAACTCAAAAATTCAGTCAAATGTAATCAAAATGACCCCTAAAAAGTTTAACACCATTAATTTGATCATCGGAGTACACTGTATAAGCCACACCCCTTTTTTTAGGGGGGGGGGTTCAGTGCTCAAAGTGCGGCATATACTCCGGAAAATACGGTACCCTATGTCGCATATAAAAGCAGGCGCTTATGATCATGCTTCTGCGTTACAATGTGCTTCGAAAAATCAGCCATGCTTTAATTCGGGCCATGCTTTTGCACGCAACATTATGGCATTCGCCTCTTTAGGGCATCAGATGTAGAAGACTGGTATGTTTGATGCAATTATAATCAAGAGTACATGAAAACCAGAGTGTGCAGCTTGGGGCTTTTCTGCTATGGGTGTCTGTCACGGCGGAATTCCGTGATTACATCATTTTGGCGCAGATTTGAAGTGGGAAGTGGCATAGTGCGTACAACTGAGCTGCAGTTGTGCAGAAAGAGACCTGCTTGAATCCTGCTTGTGAGCACTACATCACTAACATGATGTAGTGATAGAAATCCGGCGTGAGACAGCAACCCATCCGAGCTGCACACTCTGGTCTTCATGTACGCTTGTTGTACTCGAGACGCGAAGGCAAGAGAAAAGGACCGATACGTTACTTGTTATGCCTAAACAGTCCACCAAGGTGGCGTGAAAATATGCAGTGAGATAGTGCGACAACGAGGCACAAACACTGACAATGGTCCTCGGTGGACTGTTAGTCATAACCAGTAACTTCCAGAACTGTTTCTCTTTACATATCTCTATTGGCTCAACATCCGAGTGTTTTCAAGAAAGCAAGAATGGACCACTCGCCATTTGTACAGATCCACGAAATCCCGTAGAATCCCGTAGACCCGGAAGTGTGTTGAATGTACAGGACCCTATTGTGTTTTCTGCTATTTCCACTAAGAAATGGGCCCCGGAGGCATTTCATATGAAAACCTTTTTCTGACAAAGATCTAGCTAGTCATTAGTTCGAACCAAAGCGAAGAAGCTGGAAAAGCGATTGCTGGTCATTGAATTATGACGCGAAAATTGGTCAAATGCGCATGCATAGTACACATTCAACACCCTTCCGGGTCTACGGGATTCTACGGGATTTCGTGGATCTGTACAAATGGCAAATGGTCCGTTGATCGAGCACACACCTAGTCCACTACCAATGTACACCGATTCATTAAAAGACAGAAATAATTTTATCGAGAATGCAAGACCATAGTGGCTACTTCTGATACCAGAAGTTTCTGTTAGGGCGGATCGGGGTAGGAATCGGATGCTCAAGCATATCGTGAAAGTACGAAAACACGATTTCCTGAACTTTGAGGCCCCATCAGACAGACAGGCAGGCAGGCAGGCAGACCCACACACACATGCACAGACACATGTGCACACACACACACACACACACACACACACACACACACAAACACACACACACACACACACACACACACACACACACACACACACACACACACACACACACACATAATGCATGTACACACACACACACACACACACAAACACACACGCACGCGCACACACACACACACACTACTACTACTACTGGAGCTTGGTTGCCACAAGGGCCACACCACTCCGAAAGGAGCCAGAGTCATTGTCAGGAGCAGAAACGGAGATGACGATTCAGGTCACTCTGTCGACGGAACTGACGGTTGCAGCGAGAACAGCGAACACCATACGACGCTCTAGCAGACTTGGTTGCTCGATGGCCACGGTCGCACTTGTGACGTCTGAAACCAGGCACGGACTTGAACTGCCGATTGCATGTCACACACAAGAGAGAAGCTGGGACGTTGAGCGGAATAGGTGATGCCGGCGCGGACGCTTCCGATGGTTCCAGGGGCAAACAATGATGTACACGCAAGCCACCACGAGAGTGAAACCACCTCCTGCATGTACCACACTGCACAGCACCACGCTGTTCCTGGATGGGGAGACTTCGTTCTGCGCTACACTTGTGTCTTGCTTTGTCACCTGGCCGACGAAACGAACGGTGGCAGATAAGACAGTCCACCCGTTGAGATTGGTCATGGGAAGGACCGCCGAGGCTCGGCCCAACGGAAGACACCCGCCAGGCAGATCGATCCTGAACAATCCCATACCAAGCTAGATGTTCAATGCCAATGTGCCGAAGATCAGCCGAAATCACATCCCTCCAGCGACGACGGGGACCACACGCAGGCCGAGGCGACGGTAGGAAGCCAAACAACAGCTGCTTGGGCACACGAACATCCGACATGCGGGCCACATGGCCAAGCCATTCAAGCCTCCGCTTCCGAAGCCGGGAGGGCAATAGCGATGGATCACCCCACATCTCTCGGAGCTGCTCCATGGCCAGCAATCGAGGACATCTGAGAGTTGTAATTTTTGTACTCCTCCGAGGTGTGATTTTTGGCGTGCTGGGCCAAGCACAAGGAAACTATCTGCAAAAAAACTGCAGAAAATGGTTGTTGTTTGATCCTTTGGTGTAATCTTTGTTTCTAGTCGAAGCTAGTTGCTGTTTGGAGCAGAAACGCTGAAATTGACTATTTTCTGCATGTACTCATTCATGTACTCATGTACTCAGGCATGCAGTCTCACTCGTATTTTAGCTGTTTTTCTGGAATGGATGCTGCTCTGCGCCCCTTGGTGAACATTTCCTGCGCTCGTGGAGCAGCTGAAAAGGACCACTGGTATGTCTGGCTCCTGGTTTGAAAGTGGAGAGTCGACTTTTGTGCCTTGAAAAAGGAGTAGAGAGCGATAAAGGTACGTCTGTGGCTTATTTTTGAGTGCTCCTCGTACATTTTTGATCATGATAGAAATTCTCAGACCAAAGTCAGACCAAAGTCAGCGCGATGATGGCCGTACAGTTTTCTTGTGGATTTTTTAGTTGTTTCATCTCGTATCTATGTCAGTATCGTGATGGTGAAGTGGAGAGGGTGATTTTCTTCCTCTAGGCTTCGTTCGGCCGACTTTGCTTCGTCCTCGTTGAAAAGTGATCCTGAAAAAAAGATCGATTCGCAAAATTATGTTGATTTTCAATGTACGTGATGACATACGATTGCTGGCTATGATTGGTGATGCGTTCCTCCCACTGTTGTGTTCGCGAAACACACAAGATGCTACGGATGCATTGGTGGTGGAAACTATCGAGGCGCCGGAGGTCACCCTGCAAAGGGCACCAGCACTCCGAAGCATACAGTAGCACTGTCATCACACAGGCGTTATACAATCGGCGCTTCACATGGAGTGAAAGATCACGATTAGCAAACACATCCTAGAGCGATCCAAAGGCACGCGAGGCGAGTGACAAACGCCTCGAAACGTCTCCTGCAGAACGCGCATCCGGAGTGATGACAGAACCCAGATAAACGAAGGAGGAAACATTTTCCACCACCTGTCCATGAAGCGGAATGCCAGCAGTGTCAACTGAAGTAACACCAACACCAGCCACCATAAACTTGGTCTTGGGTATACTCACAGTGAGGCCAAATTCAGCAGAAACATCCTGGAACGCCGTCAAGGCCAACACAGCATGCTCCCGCGAACCAACTACAAAGTTTGCATCGTCCGCATACTCAACATCAACAACAGCGGTCTGCTGATAGGTACGGGTTCGTCGTGCTGGGTTGAATAACTGGCCATCCAAGCGATAGTGAAATTGGATGCCAATGTCTGGGTCACGATCAGCGAGAACAGACCGCCACACACACACACACACACACACACACACACACACACACACACACACACACACACACACACACACACACACACACACACACACACACTACTACTACTACTATGATACAGCTACCCTAAACGGATCACGCCGCCCTCCACCCAAGCATGAGCACTATGAGGGGCAGTGGCAAATAAAGAGAATCAGCTAGCAGAACTGGCAAAACAGATGAAACAATGGAGCAGAACGGACGACTGCTGTACAATCATGTTCGAGTACTGTAACAACAACCTGACAGCTACAGTGACAACAACTGAAAATGAACAGGAAAGAAAAAAATTCAAAATTTCACGCCACGAAAAAACACTGTCCACGAAAGAATCCACCAAGCAAAAGGAGTGTGGGCATCCGAAATCCCACCAGGACTCCACTAGCAGTTCTTCCACGTTGACGATGTAAGCGGCAGGGCAATGCCTCACAAATCCGACAGACTTCCGCAACGCTTGACCAGTGCACTCATGACGACGAAAGATTGAAGTTTCAATTCCCACCATTCCGCCATTGCGACCTTCCTCTCCGCACTCGCTCGTCCACTCCACTGAAACAACGACTTGTTCCAGCACTCCACCAGCCAATCCGCAATTCCCACCACTGCATTCTTCGAGCTTGGATTCTTCACAGCACTCGAGGGATAGCTACTCCACTGCGAGTGGTGGACCACGGCCGACGCAGCAGTGACAATATCGAAGTAAATTGTCCTGCAAGCTACATCGCGATTCCGCGCTCCAATCACACACACACACACACACAC